TCATTCTGTAATCGACAAACTTCAACAATTATAAGCCACTTAACGCCATCAGCGGCATAGTTCTGCCGCGTTCCCATACACAAGATAGTACGATTTCCAGGGAACAACACGTTTTGGCGTAAAAAACGGCCAGCGACCTGGTGGGTCATCTACCGTACTAGCCCTTTGATATGGCCGCATCCCTTGCGAGTGGTGGTACATATGCCAGGACAGTAGGGGTGAGGCGTGATGGTTGTATCATCGTATTCGGGGATGGGGTGTTTTATCTAACGTTTATTATTTAATTATTTACATCAAATTCTCCTAAAAAACATTCAATCAGTCTACGGGCTTATATGGCTTATACCGACTTTTGAAATGTAACCGCAGACATCAGGGGGTGTAGGGAATATCACAATCGCGCAATGGGCGATGCGACATAATATAAATATATACAGTTTGCACACAAGTATGGGAGCGATGGACGTGCGCGTATCTGCTCTGCGCGATCAGCGCGACGGCGTGTGACTCGTATGTCTGTGTGTGTGCGGCCCGTCGCGTGCGCTTGTCCGGTGCGCTAGCGATGCGTTAACATGTTCCACATTATTTGTTCAATGATTTCAAGACATTCAGGACGGGTTTTTGCTAATAGTAATCAGGACAAGTATTTCAGTTTTATAGATCATCATCATATACCTGATAGATTCATATTAAAAGTAAAAATTGTTGTTTTACCACGAGTGCGACAGCAGCATTAAACAGCCTATATAGCTCGCCATTGCGATGGACACAATAGTCTGTCATACTCGTCATTCACCTAGCAGTCAGCTGACGCGTCCTGGGACAATATGTATGCTTTTATGTGACATGGCGTCACTCAGAACTATACTATCACACAATGTAGCGGAGCACTCGGAACTTTTACTCTATTTTAACTGCCTCAACCACTATTGCATTATCAGACTATTTTCTTCATGAAAAAGACTGTCTTCAAATACATGTATTTTTGAGTTGACATTACATGCCAATAAAGATTTCAATAAAAATAATAATAAACACGTTGCCGGTTCTTCTATGCTGACTCTTTATTGCCTCGTGTCAGGCAGAACATAACAGGTGAATCACTTAATTCCGTTATTCCGCTTTCGGCGGATGGTATCGCCACGGCCGTCAAGAACAACGGTCGTGACAATGGTTTGCCAACCAACATGACCGTATTTCCGCGAAACTTTTTCACTCCCGAGGCCCACAAAATGATAATTTACTGCCTAAACGACACGCGCACGCGGCTGTGCTGCTACCATACCGTGCGTGGTGCGCGTCCGTTAGGCTTGTGGGGTAGGATGTGTTTGTGTACTGTAAAAACGCTGTATTATTAGCCGTATCCCCACATTTTGTGCTTTGGGGGGACGTGAAAAAGTTGAGGCTGAAAAACACAGCATTTGCCTGGACTTATTCACAGGCACCTGATGCCGTGGGCGATATCTATGCGCGAGGAGGCGGAAGCGGAAATACTGAAGGGGAGAAGTGAAGAGGGGAGAAGAAGGAAATAGGAAAGAAAGGAGTGAGATAGAGACTGAGGAGGGGAGGAAGAGAGTGCAGACAGAGATGGGCACACGATGCCAGTCACCGCGTGACAACGCACGTACGGCCACAAACGGCACGCCACGCAGACGCATGGATGCCACATAACTCCATTCTATACCGGTAGCTTCCTCGCTTCCCATCACCTCTCCCTCCTCCTCGACTCTCAACCTCCCTCGGCTCGGCTCTTCTCTCTCTCTCTCTCCTCTCTTCTCTCTCTCTCGTCTCTCTCTCGCCTCTCTCTCTCTCTCTCATCTCTCTCTCCACTCTCTACTCTCTCTCTCTCCTCTCTGCTATCTCTCTATCTCTCTCCTTCGCACTTTTTCTCTCTTTCTCGGGCGTATATATATACACACATGTATATATTATATTATAATATACTCGGCCTTGCTCCGTTTCTCTTGCCTTGCACGTTCAATTAACTCCCCTCGCGCGGCGGATAGTATGCGCCCAGCGGCATCAGCATCACGGTGAACAAGCTTTGCAGCCAATATGACCGTATTCAGCGAAACATTTTCATCCCGAGCACAAAATCGTGACATGTCACGCCTATAAGACACGCGCCAGCGTGCGTGCGACCAACCTTGCCGTCGTCGCGTCCCGGTTAGGGTGTGGACTTGGGTTGTGGATGTGTTTGTGTGTTTGCGTGACTGTAAAAAACGCGTATTATAGCCGTATCCCCACATTTTGGGCTTTGGGGGGGGGAGGGGGTGTGAAAAAGTTGAGGCTGAAAACCAGCCATTTGCCTGGCTAACTTTTCACCGTGCAACTGATGCCGTGGGCGATACTATCCGCGAGAGGGGGGAGGGGAAGGAAGTGAGAGAGGCGAAGTAAGGAAAGAGGAGAGAAAGGAGGTAGGGAGGAATGCAGACAGAGATGTGCACACGCATGCGCAGTCACACGTGCAGACAAACGCACGTACAGCCCAAACGGCACGCACACACAGTCATGGATGCACCTTCTAATATAGTTACTTCTCTTGCCTTCCCGCTCACCCTCTCCCTCTCCGTGATTCTCACCCTCTCTCTTTCTTTGTCTCTCTCGCAATACTTCTCTTCACGCACACACGCGCGCACGCACACACGGACGCAGACAGAGATGTGCACACGCATGCGCAGTCACACGCGCAGACAAACGCACGTACGGCACAAACGGCACGCACACACAGTCATGGATGCACCTTCTAATATAGTTGCTTCTCTCGCCTTCCCGCTCACCCTCTCTCTCTTTTAGTTTTTATCGAACACTTGGAATAAGGTTGGTCAGATAATCAGCAATGAAAACTTGCTTTTTATTTTAGGTCAAAAATGTAAAATTCCAGGACATTAGACATAAAATTAGGACTTGGACGTATTTCCCAGGCCTTTGAATGACAAAAAGAAAAATCAAGGACTTTCAATGACAAAAGACAGAATTCAAGGACTTTCAAGGGATGTGGTGACCCTGGTTAAGACCCCCTGAACTTTAGATTCACTTCTGATATAACACGCAAATAAAGAAATTAAATATGATAAAACAACTGAAAGTAACAAATGAATACGAACAATTTGTCATACGGGCATTATCGATGATTTATGTACAACACAGCACAGTTAACCAATTTTAATTCACATGTGTATACTACAAGCACACTAATAAGAGGAGTGCCTACACACTTTAGGCATAACAAAGGGCAAAATCACATCAAGACAATAAAACAAGGCTACACACGTCGCTGACCGTTAAATGTAAACCACTTTAATACATAACGAGAATATATTTACAATTACTTTAGCCATATATGGGCAATAATTATTACAAATCTTTCCAATATCACCCACCTTTATATAATTGGACCCAGAGCCACACTGATTAACAAATATGCTTTCATGAGGTGGAGGGTTTGTTTCTCTGTGTATGCTAGGGGCACCCACGAGCGTATTGTAGTCGCAACGATTCGCACACGATTCAAAATTTCGCAGCGAATCTTAATCGCCCGATCACAAAGGGCACACGTAGCGAATTTGAGAGCGCACGCGTACCGCCAACTGCGACGCGAAATCACAATGATACACATGATGCATCACATGATGATCAACAACACGTCGATTGGTTTAGAAAAAATCGAATCGGGCGACAAAAATAGCGAACCGGACACGGGCACACGGACGGCGAATTTGCCAGCGTAAATTAATCGCCGGCCGTAAATAATCGCCCGAAAATATGCTAACATTTTGGCATACGGCATTCGTACGGGCGATTTTAAAATCGCGTCGACTGTGAACGGCACACGGCGAATTTTTCGAGTCGATTTTAAACATTAGCGGCGATCGGTGCGATAAAAATCGCTTGTGTGCCCCTACTTTAGGACGCCACCCCGGTGTGACGGGATACTGGGCGTATTAGAGAAATTTACCCACACCATATAAATTAAACTCTACCCTACTAGAAACACGCCCATCCTTCTTGCTATAATTATGAGAGTATCAAAGTAGGGAAGTAACAAATAGAAAGCCAAAAATAATTTCGGTTCAACATTATTGAATACTTTCGAATATATTAGTCTACGCGTATTAATACGGCTAACGCAGCTCATAGATTAACATAACACTGCACCCGAATTTAATATGCTGATTTCAAACTTTCGATTCAACATTGCCATAAATTCATGTTCTCGACATGACGGGAATCATCTTCCTCATTCTTCTATAGTGAAATCTTCGACCATTCATGTCATTGACTGATGGCTGGATATACAGTAACGTAGGAACACTGCTACTATGCTAATGACACCCTTCATTGGCTTCCACACGTTTTCTCATCGTTCTTACAGAATGAAGCCAACATGGAAAAACTCTAGAAAGCCCTTATCAGTTAGTGTTCACCAAACCTGCCAGAGTGCGACAAGGGATACACCCCCTCCCCCCTAAACATTTCGTTATTCGAGTGAAACCATCACGTAGAAAATGGCATCGTCGCCGATATAAACGACTTTGTTGGATTCGTTCGTGCGCGAATAAATTCAATTGTGACCAATCATAGAATGGTCGTCAACTAACAAGGTGCTCACCGCATTTGTTGAATCACGTAGCTGCACATTGGCGCATCCCCTGTTCGAAATCCACTTCGACATTCTGCAATCAATCTGCCCAAAAACTCATGCCCTTAGAGTCTGCTAGAATGTCTTGAATAGATGACCAAATCGTGCCTAGAGTCCGATAGTATGCCTTGATGAATGAGCCCGTCATGCCCCAGAGTCTGATGGTATGGCCTTGAATAGTATGACCAGTAGACCTGCAAAGGCTGCTAGTAGCACCTTCAACAGCATGACCAGTCATGCCCAGAGTCTGATGGTATGGCCTTGAATAGCATGACCAGTAGACCTGCAATAGGCTGCTTAGTAGCGCCTCCAACGATGACCAGTCATGCCAGAGTTTAATGGCTAGGGCCAGTTGAATAGATGACCAGTAGACCCGCAAAGGCTGCTAGTAGGGCCTCCAACGGATGACCAGTCGTGCCCAGAGTTTGGTAGTATAGGTTCCAAAGAATGACCGGTCATGTCCAGCGTCTGGCAACACGGCCACGAACAGATGACCAAGTCGTGCTGCCGAGTAGAGATCCGCATGCAGGCAGCTAGTTGGGTACGACGTCGGCCACCCTGATGTTTGGATTAGCCATCGGGTCGAGCAGCGGATCGTCGTTGTCCCCCGACCGGCCCAGCCTGTTCATGACGAGCAGCAGCGTTAGCAGCCCCACCATCGCCGCGACGACAATGAACGCAAACTTCTTGTACATGGCGTTCGGGTCCCGGACGTTTCGTCTCGACGTCGAACGAGACCTTGAAGAGAACGAGACGGTATTTCTCACAGATTACGTATTATAACTCGTAACGTAATATCGTAAAAGAAAAGGTTAGAAGAAGGCTGAGAAAGGGTTCGAAATGGTGACGAAGGGTTGGGTGATGATGGTACAGTCTGGCGTGTTAGTGGTCACATCTGTAGAATAGACACCCGTACACAGTTTTTGCGCCTCTCTCATGTGGCAGTTATACAGCGAACCACCTATGTAGAAGGGACACCTGTCTGCAAGGGCTGCTTTTCACGTTTGCCTCAAGTGATCCTTATATATAGGTGTGATTGCAGTACTCTATGTTTCAAGAGACTTCATTACACACAGAAAGTAGGTTACAATGTAGTGCACAATAGTAGACAAAGTAGTGCACATGCATACTGATGCATTTACGCTATGTATAATGACCCCCAAAATTATAGGGCATTACCAAATAACGTGAATAACATCCGTAAGCCGTGACAGAAGAGCAGAGTAGACAATGATTGACACGCGGCAGCCAAATATACGAGCGCACTCACTTGAACCATCTTCCAAACAACTCCATCGCGCTTCTTCTTTTGTACTTGTTGTCATCGACGTCAAACAGTGAGCCCGTTGCCATGGTTTCGTGGCCGGACGTGGAGTCAAACACTCTCCTTGGTGACGAATTCGCTAAAATAAAAAACGAACGTGATTGTTTGTTAGTTTCCCATCAGGGAACAAATGTCTGAGCGAATCCAGTAATCTGAAAAGTGCACCCTATATGACTCTGTAAATCAGTAACTGCAGCTCATTACATAGTCATAATTATTGTAAAGTTAAAAGTGAAATGGAAAACGCAAACGACACACAATCATGCAGTTCTTAACATATCTGCATGGTGCTGCACCCTATCGAGAATAATAATGAGAAACTAAATATAAGTAACAATTTACTGTCATTAATACAGGCAGCTCGTTATTGCTGCATACATGTTATCAGGAGTATATCAATAAGGAGTAAGACAGACTGAAACCGGCAAAATTCAACATTTAGTTGCCTTAGTCTACCTATGATTTATTGTGTTTAACTCGATAA